AGAAAAAAACCATATGATCATTTCATTAGATGCTGAAAAAGCATTTGACAAAATTCAACATCCCTTTATGATAAAAGTCTTGGAGAGACTAGGGATACAAGGGTCATACCTAAATATAATAAAAGCTATATACAGCAAACCGACAGCTAACATCAAATTAAACGGAGAGAAACTCAAAGCCATCCCACTAAACTCAGGAACACGACAAGGCTGCCCACTCTCGCCATACCTCTTCAATATAGTGCTTGAAGTTCTAGCAATAGCAATAAGACAACATAACGGGATCAAGGGGATTCGAATTGGAAAAGAAGAAGTTAAACTTTCGTTATTTGCAGATGATATGACAGTTTTCAATTCTTGAACTGCTTCCATTTACCTGTTTGATCGCTTTTTCTTGGTTTCCCAGGGTATCATTTACGTATTTACTCATTTCTTGGGGGACTTGACTGGGGGAGGAGGAGGGAAATGGGAGGTGGTAGAGGGGAGGAGGCAGAAATCTTTAATAAATAAATAAATAAATTTTTAAAAAAAGGGAAAAAAAAGAAATCAGCATTTATTGAGTGTCTGAAATATTCCAGGCTGGTACCTTAACTAAGTGAAAGTTGTGTCTGAACTGAGGACTTTCTAGCTAGATAGCCATCTACTAGGGGTGCCTAGTTGTACTCTGTGGTTCATGTCCTTGTCTTTCAAAGTTCAAAGGCTAGCATATGAATGTGGTAGAGGAAGCAACTAACCTTGTTAGGGAGACCAGTAGGAACGGTGATTTAATTGACGTCATCGGACTTTGACCTTGAAGATGAATAATGTTGCTTCTGGTTGACGTCTGGGGCAGGAACTTGGGAAAGCCAAGGAGGAAAGAAGAACTGAGTATGATCTGGAGGGTCCAGCACTCACCCTGACCCCGGCTGACACCAAGAAGACACTGAGTGCCAGCATGCAGACAGTTTTGTGTTTGACTAACTAGTTATGAAATAATTTTTATGTACAGGAATAGGTCTAAGGTCTGTGTTTGAAGTCTTTGCAATGAAAATGTTGCAGTGACTACTGTATGACATACACAAGCTAACGGGATTAATCACCCCACATGCTCCTGTGCACCTGCCATGCATCCAGTTGGGGGAAGGGGAACTTCTGGGCTAAAGGTTTACAGCTCTCCAGATGCTGTCATCTCAGCATCTCAGTGTGTGCTTTAGTGATCCATGTGTTCAGGTGGCTGTTTGAGTGGTTCTCCGGCTTGAGTCAGTAATGATGCTGTGGCTCAAAGAGTGGTTAATTTCTACCGCTTGTTATTTCAGATTCTCCATTTCATGCCGAACCATTTCTTAATTGTTTTCTTTATATTTTCCAATTTTTCAGAATTTTAAAGTCCAAGTCCTCAGCTTCCTCTGGACTCACACTCAGAATAAGGTATTTTCATAGGAATATCGGGGATCAGAACCAACCGGGGAAAGAGCTGTGAAATAGGACTCAAGATAAACAATATGGCTTTCGGAACTGAAGTACTGTTTTGTTTAAAAAGTGACTATTAGGAAGTTTAGAAATTGTTCTCAACAATCCCAGTAATGACAGGTGTGAAGGTTGTTGCCATTATCTCTTATTTTTATATGGTTTTGTTCTTTTTCTGCTCTGGCTCTGCCACGTAAATATACCAAACAGAAGTGTAGTACGGCTTGGGTGTTTGTGTGGGTGCATGTACGTTTGATGTATGTGAAGGACATAGGACAATTTCAAATGCCATTCCTCACTCTTATCTTTTTTGAGGCACAGTCTCTTACTGGCATGGAGTATACCAAATCATGTAGACTGGCCTGTGCCACCATGCTAGGCTTTTTTTTTTTTTTTGAACGGGGGTTGGAGGTTCAACTCAGAAAGTCCTTTTTTTCTGAATGCACGAGCCAACTCCTGAGTCCTTTAGTGGGTTTGTAGGCACCATTCCCCGTGATGAGTGCAGAGGGCTGGAGAAGTCCTACTTAACCTACGGATTTAGACTACAAACAGCGAGCTCGCTTGTCCTGTTAAACATGAGCTTGTTAGACATAAACCCCCACAGTCCTACTAAACTGGACTAATCCAGAGGAACCCGAGGAGTTAGATAATTTTTAAAGTCCAAGTTAGGATAAAAATTTTGTGTTTCTAAGCCCATTAGCCTAGTTTTATTTTCTGTTGCTCTTTAGGGCAGATTCTCCAGAAGAAAGCTTAATGGTAGTAATTTTCCTCAGCCATTCTTACTTCTTTATTAATGATACTTTTGTTTATTTGTTTATTTGTCCCCTACTTTTTTTAAAAAAGAAATATTTTTCTGAAGTGAGAAACTTGATTTCTCAAGCCTCTAGTAAATGTTTTTTTGGCCTGAGTAGCAGTTGAATGTCACTCCTCAGACACTGATCCGTAGCAGCCTGGCACTGGGGAGCGAAGATTTTCTTGCCTCCTCTAGGTCTGCTGTTGATGTGTGTTGTTTTCCATTTGTCTCACCCAGGATCCCATTGTAGCAAGTGCTGCCTATAAATCTCTGTCTCACTTCAGCTCAGGAGAACACACCATCCTTCACCTGCCAGAAAAGGTAAGAGCTTCTGCCTTTTCACTGCTATCTCTTGGTTTTTTTCTCTTTATGTCTTTATTTCCCATCATAGGAGCTCGTTTCCTGATGAGTGTGTATGCATCTCTAGGTATAGCATCCTTATAATATAACTTGTTCATTACTCTTTAAAACTGTAAAACTGTGTGATCTTACGCTCCATAAGGGATAGGTTTGAATCTCCTTGAAGCAGGTGAAAGGCACTGTGGTGCATATGGCGTCATCCTCAATGACTGGAGTCGCGGCTTGCCCGGAAGTTCTGTACCATTTTAAGAACCTCTTTATCGTCAAATCAGAGTGCCATCTTGGAGTTTAGTTATAAGCATAGATGAATATTTTCTACTTCCTGCGCTGCTAACAATCTTTATCTTTCACAAACAACAATGTCATAAGAAATAAAAGCCTTTTTTAAATGATTTATATGGCAAGAAGAAAGTGTCATTACTTTTATAAGTCAGCAAAAAGTATGGCGTCTAAAATAAGTAAGTTATTAATGTTGTTGGTATTGCTATTGCAGTGTTGGGGATGGAATTCCAGCCTAGTATATGCTAGGCAATTATTTTTATTTCAAACTAAACGTAAAATTAGTATATGACGGGTGTAATTGTAGAAGACTTTAATCCCAGCACTGTAGGGATGCAAAAGTAGCTTGGTCTATGTGCGTTCAAGATGAGCCTGGTCTGCATAGCAAGTAGCCAGGGTTACATAGTGAGACCCTGTCTTTAAAGAAAGAAAGAAAAAACAATCTAGTACTTACGTAACTTAACCTGCTTTGATGTACTGGGTCATGTTAAGGAGTTAAAGCTCTGATTTTACTTTCGTTGCCACAATGAGTCCAGATAATATAGATGACTAATGAATGCCTTTATGGTAAAAGGTGATATTGTGTTATATGAACTTACATACAATATTATCCAGAAAGTGTCCCGGAGATCAAAGGTTGTGAATTTCTTGGCATCCTCTTTTTATTCCTCCTTCCAGTGTTTGAATATCTAAAGAATAAAAGTTGAGAAACTGGTTATGTCCCAAATAAGTGCTCCCCCCCGCCCCCCAGCTAGGTGTACAGCCAGGCCTTTTGTGGATGTTAGCAGTAGTATAAAAACAGAGTAGTGTTTTTTTTGTTTGTTTGGTTGGTTTTTTTGGTTTTTTGAGACAGGGTTTCTCTGTGGTTTTGGAGCCTGTCCTGGAACTAGCTCTGTAGACCAGGCTGGTCTCGAACTCACAGAGATCCGCCTGCCTCTGCCTCCCGAGTGCTGGGATTAAAGGCATGCGCCACCACTGCCTGGCCAGAGTAGTTTTGAATATTTCCAAAGTTCATGCATACAGGGGTTTCTGTAGCTGTTTGCCACCAGGGGCGAGTGACTCTCTCAAGGGATCCCAGATTACCGTGTACTTTAACAGCAAAACTCTATTCCCATCCTCTCTTTCTAGTGTGCCACCTTCTAAGATAAACTTTTCACCTTGCTGCGGTTTTTCAGCTAGAATTAAAAACAAAGCAAACTAAAACAAGATACATCTTTACATGCATGCCTATATACCTATTTTTGTGTATTCTCGTTCCCATACATTTGCAGGTGGCTCTTTTCATTAAATTTCCTTAAGAAGCAAATATTCCTTATTTGTTGATGACTATAAACATATACCGTATATCTTGTGGAAAGTTAACAGGCATGTAGAACAAAGGGGTAAGGGAAGTGGCAGGTCAGAGAAGAAAATGTGGTGTTAAACCAGCACGCCTGAAGTCAGACAGAAAATATTGTATGATGGGACTAGAGGAGGAGACCTATGTGACTAAGGCATTAGACACAAAGTCCATTCAGTCACACTGTTCCCTATGAAGTTTGCTTGTGGACATCCAGTGATGGGCACTTTCCTCTGGCACGGTTGAATAACTACTTACTGAATGTCTGCTAAGTGCAGTGCTCTGTCTTATGCACTGAGAATGTTAAAATGATTACATGTGTTTTGTGAATTTGCAGTAATGTCATTATTTATCTTGAAAATCTAAATTTGGCTTCATATTTTTAAGGACCCATTTATTTCAATATTTAAAAAATAGACAACTTTCCCCATTATTTGTAGGTATTCTTTTCTTTTTTAGATATTTACTGTTATCCTCTTATTTCTTTAGCATCCCACCCTCCACCTACCCCAAAGGAAAAAAAATAAAACAAATCAACTAAGACAATATAGAATGTTTTTCTGGTAAAATAATGAGTAGTGGACAAACTTTTAGGTAGAAGACATTGCTTTTTCTTCTGACTCAGAGTCATTAAAAAATATTCAGCTGTTACAAAATTAAACTTACAAAGATCGTAAGATGGTCTTGTTGATTTCTGGGGTTATTTTTAGAAGCAATAAAGAAGTACTCATTATGTATCCAGGGTTGGTATAAATATGGTGTAACCCTCTTGGCTTTGATTTAACTGAATGTCATTGCATTCATCAGAAGCTGTTTCTCTTTTTAGCTAAATTTATGCAGATACTTGACTCCTGCACACTCCTCTGCTTGAGCACTCACTCTGATCTCATAGGTGAGACACACGTAGGTGTGCACAGTGAGGTATTTCATAGGTAAACTTTCCCATAGCCAGTTCAATTTGAAGGAGAGTTTTGTCATTCTTTTATTTGGCTTTCTGCTGAGTTTTGTTTTTCAACAAAGCTTTTTTATGGTTGGGAGGTCTCGTAGATTTGTGCGTGTATTCTAATGTACTCAGCTGTCCCTGGATGTTTTAGCAGCTAATGTGACACAATTGCCAAAATTTAGTAACTTCAACAGATATTCTTACACATGAGTGCCCTCACTCTGAGCCTATTATGTTGTTATACACAAACCAAAGTCAAAGATTGGTGTTAGATAGCCGGAGGAAATAATTCTGCTTAAGACCTGAGCAGAGGAGCTGGAGAGATGGCTCAGTAGTTAAGAGCACTTACTGTTCTTCCAGGGCACCCAAGTTTGACTCCTGGCACCTACAATAGTTGGCACTCAGCAGTGTGAAATTAGACAATTTACGATGGTTGGGAACTTTCTTTAGTGGCTTTTAGAAATGTAAGTGTCCTGGATCCTGTTACTCATTTTGACTAATGTCACTTGATAGAGCAGGAGGAATGGACAGGTTATAGTATGTGCAAAATATACCTCCTTTCTGCTAAGTAATTCTGGAAGCATTTGGTTCTTTGGCACACTTTGCCTAGCAGTTATGCCCCCTCACATGGAAGGACAACAGTCGTTTCTTTTCCTTCTCCATTGCCACTCCAGCTCTTCCCTCTTTACTTTCATTTTAAGCAAATTCTTTAACTTGTAATTCGCAAACCATAAGACTCACCCATTTAAAGTGGGCAGCTTAGTACTTCCAGAATGTGTAAAGATTTGTGTGGGAGCATTCTTCCCTAAAAGAGCCATTGTTGGGTTGGTGGTCACCTTACTCCCTTCCTCTCTATTCCCTAAACAAATGTTTATCTTCTTTCAGTGAATTTGTCTTTTCTGAACCATATAAATGGAATCATCCAGAATGTGGAGTTTGTGACTGACTTCCTTTTTATAGTCTTTTCAGGGTTCTTTTCTGTGCAGCATGTATCTTATGTATCTCTGTACTTCATTTCCTTTCTTTCACCCGCCTCTAGCAGGCCTTCCTAGTCCCTAATACATACTTCCATGCCCACTGTTTTAAAGGAAGATTCAGATGTAAGAGAAAATACGTGGTCTTGTTAATCTCATTTAACATGCTGATCTCTAATTCCATCCTCTTTCCTGCAAGTGATATGACTTTCCTATTCTCATTGTTGAAATAAAATGCCGTGGTGTATACATGGGACTTTCTCTTTAACTGTTGAGTTATTGATGGGCGACTGGGCCAATTCTATGCCTTGGCTATTGTGAATAGTGCCAGAGAAGCATGAGTATGAGGCTGTGTCTGTAGCATGCCACCTTTGGTTCCTTCAGGTCTATATCCAGAAGGGGGAATAGGGAGATTATATGCTAAGTCTGCCTTTAGTATATTGAGGAGCATGCAGGGTTCTTTCCGATTACATCATTGCCAGCATTTGATATATTTTTAAATTTTTATATATTTTTAAATTTATATATTTTATGATCAGAGTTGGACTCAAAGTAGTTTTGGTTATATTTGCTTAATGACTAATAATGCTGCAGCTTCTACATTTATTTATTGGCTATTTTACTTGTTTGTTTGAAAAGTATCTGTTAATTTCCCCATTTTTGTTTACTTTTTTATGTTCAATTTTTAAAATTCCTTATATATTCTGGATATTAATCCCTTTTTCCTAGTCTATTCGCTGCCTCTCCATTCTGCCATTTGTTGTGAGAAGCACTGTGAAGTGCCGCGCTCCCCATTTGTCAATGCTTGCTCCTTCCAGGACCGTTGGAGTCCTCTGTAAAAGGGTGCTGATGGTGCTGGAGACATGGCTCAGTGAGTAAGAGCACTGTCTGCTCCTGCAGAGTCCCCAGGTTCAATTCCCAGCAGCCATGTGGTCGTTTACAGTCATGAGGATCTGCTTCTTACTTCTGACCTCTGCAGGCAGCACTCAAGCAAGTGGCGCACACAGATACATGCAGCCTAACACCCATGCAAATAAAAAAAAAATGTTTAAAAAAGTCTTCGCCAGCCAGTGTGGTAATACACACCTGTTATTCTAGACTTGGAAAGTAACAAAATGATAATCAGGAGCTCAAGTCTCAGCCACACAGAAAACTGCAGGCAGGCCTGGCTTATATGAGACCCTGTTTCACAGAAAAGAGAGAGTCCTCCACCTCCCAAAAGAAAACATGGCTGTGCCTATGCCTATACTTTGAAGTGTTATCCTAGATTTGTTTCAACCTCTCAGTTCTTACTTTGATGTCTTTAATCAACTTTTTGATTTTTTTTTTTTTTTTTAGTATTTCAAGGTGGCTTTATTTAAAAACTGGCTAGATGCTGAACACTTTTTTAATTGAAGACCAGAGATAAGGGTCTAGTTTTAGTGTT